TATTACAGCAGTTCAGCAGTTTCTAAGGTCGCTCTCTGTCTGTGAAGAAGGTGGTGATACTTCTTCAGAAGCAGCAGAGAAGAAACTTGATCTTGCAAACGCAATAGATGCTATGGCATCAAGCATGGAGAAAACTTTGGATAATGTGTCCAACCATGAGTAGCGGGTATGAGCATGAGTGTTGGGAAAAATTATCCGTTGTTGATATGCAATCCAGGTTTGGAGTGAAAAATACTAGAGATATTGAAAATTACCAAGAGAAAAGTGAGAACTCATCTAGCATTGTTCACGCGCATTTAGAGTTAGTTAATGGAGTTGATGAAAACCAATGGAGGAGGCATCGACACTTGAATACTCTAGGACACTTATTGTTCTTTATCAACTTTTCTCAGCTTGTCTTGCACAACCACCTGAAAAAAGTAAAAGATATACACCAAGGAGGAAGGGTTATGATGCACGACATCGTGTGCCTTTGTGGTTGCTGGTGACATGGTTTCATATCAAATGGATCAAAGTGGTCGGTATGTTCCTGCATCTATATCATATGTAATTTTGAGGTTGTTTTGAAACAGCTGGGGTTGTTTTTTATGATGACTATTAATGCCAGATGAGACTGCTGATAAGAGCTAAGGAGATTGTTAGTTCATATTAGTGGTAAGTCTGAAATCAGATACTTCTTACTTGCTACCGAAAACAGAAAAGGAAAAAAAAGGTTAGATATTTCAAAGATGCACATAACGATCAAGCTTGCAGTTGGATGTCATGCGAGGATTTTTTCTACCAATAGTTAGATATTTGAAAGATGCACATGATTTCAAAGATCTAAATGCCCAAATACTAGGATGTATATCATTGTCAACAGTTTTGCAGAATTGCAGGTAAAGCTTTACTCCGCTTTGCTCTATGTGTGTGTTCGTCTTATTAATTTTTTTTGTGAAATTGATTCTATTTTGCATATAAACGTCTATTTCATTTAAAGAAGCCATTGTGAAATAAAACAATCAGTCATTGCATGTACTCGGAGACCACTACTTGTGTCATAAAATACAATATGGATTGAAGTTTTCATTTAACTGAATAACTTATTCATACATAGGTCTTTCATAGAATTTCATGTGCCGTGGTGCAGCTTAGTGATTAGTAAAGAGCCAATTTAACGAAGGGCCTGCTGTTAATCTGTGTGTTAGACTTGAGTGAAGATTGGCCACGACTCCCCTGCAGATAATGAAATAATTTATATTGATCAACAGAGGGGAGGGGGGGAGGGGTAAAAGAAGCAGCAGAATATATCAAAATCAACAACTTTCTAAGATCCCCAACCGGTTAAAACCAACCATCACAATAGGGTGCAACATAAGAAAGAAAGGATTAATCTTGACAAGATATTGGTGGCAACACTCAACGGAGGAGAAGCAATATGTTTGGAAGATTATGCATGTCTAAAAATGTTTATTTCTTTTAATGTTATGTGAGTAATAAATTTCAACAGAAAAATTTATTCTCTTTCTTAAATTTTATAAAATTAAATACATAAGAATTTCCTATTTGTATGTTGGCGAAATATATAAACGGCCCCTTCAAGTTGTCCTCAACAACCAACTGAACACCTCAACTGAGCCTATTTTCAGTTGGACACTTCTTCTCCACTAAAGTACGACCTCGTGAACCCTTCACGTTGACATGGCAAAGTGTGTGCTTTATACTCAATTCTAAGCGCGTGAAACCCTCAAAATTAAGGTTTTTTTTTTCTTTCTTTTAAATTTAACTTTATTTTATGTGGGTCCCATTATATTTTATTTTTCACACATTAATTTCTCTTTCTTCCCAAAATATTTCATCTTCACCAAACCTCTTCTTCACCACATCTAAATCAAACAAAATCCACATTTTTAAATTTTAATCAGTTACAACAATAAACAATCTGATCCATGAATCCGGTAACCAAATAATTGAGGTTGGCATATCTCTTTGGGTAGGGAAAGTTAATACAAACTTAGCCTCTTTTCTTCCTTTCTTCTTAACAAAACCACCTTAACCCACCATGAAACTACCATAGAGGGAAGGAAATTTTTTCACATCTGATCTTGATTGAGTTTACCAAAAAAGGCAGAGTTGTTGCCCCCTTGTCTATTCTCATTGCAGTAGAAAGAAAACAAAAAAAATGATCTCCATTGCACAGATTTCTCCATTTTGACAATAGAGGTTGCATAATGAGCTTTGACAATGGAGGATATGACTGATGCAGAAGAAGATGGAAGATGAAAGGGAGGGGGAAGGGGGAGGGGATAGGGATAGTGCTGCTCTTTACAAAAGTAAAGGAAGAATGTTTCTATTTCATTTTTAATGTATTTTCTTTTTTTTTTTAAACTATGTGTCAATTTTTTTTTTTCCAGTGTTGTAACAATTATAGGGGTATCAAGTTACTTAGTCATACCATGAAAGTCTGGGAGAGGGTGGTGGAGGTGAGGGTGAGGAAGACGACGTCTATTTCCGACAATCAGTTTGGGTTCATGCCAGGTCGCTCCACTACGGAAGCTATCCACCTTATAAGGAGGTTGGTGGAACAGTACAGGGATAAGAAGAAGGATCTGCACATGGTGTTTATTGACTTGGAGAAAGCGTACGACAAGGTTCCTAGGGAGGTGCTCTTGAGATGTCTTGAGGCTAAGGGCGTGCCGGTAGCCTACATAAGAGCGATCAAGGACATGTATGATGGAGCTAAGACTAAGGTTAGGACTGTGGGAGGCGACTCAGACCATTTCCCGGTTGTTATGGGATTACACCAAGGCTCTGCGCTTAGCCCGTTCTTATTTGCCTTGGTGATGGATGCATCGACACACCATATTCAAGGGGATGTGCCATGGTGTATGCTATTTGCTGATGACATAGTTCTAATTGATGAGACAAGGGCCGGTGTTAACGCGAGATTGGAGGTTTGGAGACAAACCCTCGAGTCTAAGGGTTTCAAATTGAGTAGGTCTAAGACAGAGTACCTGGAGTGCAAGTTTAGGGTTGAGCCGAGGGAAGTAGGCAGGGACGTGGGGCTTGGATCACAGGTCATCCCGAAGAGAGATAACTTCAAGTACCTTGGGTCGATGATTCAGGGGGACGGAGAGATCGACGAGGGCGTCACTCACCGTATAGGGGCGGGCTGGATGAAATGGAGGCTTGCATCTGGGGTTTTGTGTGACAAGAAAGTGCCACTGACACTCAAAGGTAAGTTTTATAGAGCTGTGGTTAGACCGGCCATGTTGTATGGGGCAGAGTGTTGGCCGGTTAAGAACTCACATATCCAGAGGATGAAGGTAGCGGAGATGAGGATGCTGAGGTGGATGTGCGGGCACACTAGGATAGACAAGATTAGGAATGAAGATATTCGGAAGAAGGTGGGTGTGGCCCCTGTGGATGACAAGATGCGGGAAGCAAGGCTCAGATGGTTCGGACACGTGCAGAGGAGAAGCCTTGATGCGCCGGTAAGGAGGTGTGAGCGGTTGGCCGTGGTGGGTACGAGAAGAGGTAGAGGGAGGCCTAAGAAGTATTGGGGAGAGGTGATCAGGCAGGACATGGTACGAATGCGGATTTTCGAGGACATGGCCCTTGATAGGAAGGTCTGGAGGTCAAGCATTAGGGTTGTAGGTTAGGGGTAGTAGAACTTTTCTTACTTCTTTCCGGGGGTGAGGCGGGGTTGGATTAGGGTTGGCCTTAGATGGCTTGCAGTTTATGTTGAATACACACTATACTTGCTGTTTATCTGAGCCCCGGGTCTGGTTACTGTTATTGCATGTCATCCATCTTTTGATTGTTATGCTTCTGTTACTATTACGATTTCTACTGGAGTTACTAATGAATTGTCTTTTCTTGTTTTTCTTATTTCCATCTTTCTGAGCCGAGGATCTATCGGAAACAGCCTTTCTGCCCTATCGGGGTAGGGGTAAGGTCTGCGTACACATTACCCTCCCCAGACCCCACTTGGTGGGATTTTACTGGGTAGTTGTTGTTGTTGTATGTGTCAATTTTTTATTCCAATTAACACGTGTCATTTTTTAATTGGCTCATTTGACACATCATTGGCAAGTATGGCTCACGCATAAAGTCTTCAGCACTCGGGTGCTTACTTGATACACTTAATAAACACTTGAAGTGTCTAAATGGTAAATGGATCAGTTGGGATGTTCAGTTTGTCGTTAAGGACAACTTGAAGGGGCCGTTTATGTATTTCGCCTTTTATCTATGAGAAGATTCATTGTGGATTCACCAGGAAACAAGTTTAGAGGTCAAGAAGCCAGCATGACTGTGTTTGACTGTTTTCTGATTCCACACTTGTCAAGACGCAGCTTGAAATAGTCCAGAAGAGGAAAGCACATATTAACTGATCGCTCTATGTCTAAAGTTCTGAAAAAGTGAGCGGGTGATGCCTTTTCTCAAAGTATATCTTCCTGCATTGACTGGTTTACATAGGCAGAGCTGCAGAGTACAGGTAAGTGAAAGAAATTTAATATTACATGTATTTGGAGTTTGATCCCTATTAGCATGTGTTAGAGTTTGTGATTGGACTTGGACACGAAATTACAAACAAATTTTGATGAGAAGGTAAAGACCAAGGAGATATAAAATGCCACTTCACATCCTGGCCCCACCTTTTTCTCTTCTGCTTCTCTTGGGAGAAGCGGTTGGGGAAGCCATGTGACTACTTTAGAACTCAACTTTATATGATTAGTTATTCTTTAAATGGATCGTTCTTTAAATAGAGACTAACCGCAGTAAAATCAAAGACTTTCTTCCAGCTTCAAGTGTACTCCTGTAAATGCTTCACGACCGACTCTCAGTGACTTAATTAGTATATTCCTCTTACTAACATCACATGAACACCACTCTTAGAGAGGAGCAATCAAAATAACATCAATTTTTTGGGTAATTTCCACTGCAATAATTAAACAGTAAATGAAGCAGAACTTGAAACAAAGAGTTCGGACATGTAATAATTACAAGAGTTGGCTTACCTGATTACACAAGAAAGTTACAGAACTCCCAATCTTCTTTTGACAGGTCAAAGTACTCAACACCGCCATCTTCAAACATGATCTGTTAGGGGATTGGGAGGACAAAAAATATCTTCAGCCAAATCTAACCAAGTCCATTACACAACAAAAATTCACAGCTCCCTTACCAAATGTTTCTTGGTGATGGCATCAAACTGTTTTACAATTCCAAAGGACCTGAGAAGCATAGCAAATTCAAGAGTCCCTTAAGCAGTGGGTCTGGAAAAAGTAAAACTTGAACAAGCAAAAGAAAGAAAACAAAAGAATAATGGGCCACTGTAGAAAGAGTTTCCTGTGAGAAAGTTCCTAGGATTGTAAATTCAACAATAGGGATGGATCTGACTTTGATACCATGTTAAATAAATGAAATTTGGGCCTAACTTAACATCAAAAGCTAGCTCAACAAGTGAGAATTGTCCAGAATAAGAAGAAAACAACCCACTCCCGAAATCAATGTGGAACATTCTAACACCCCTTATACTCTAGTATAAGTTGCAAAATAGTAAAACTCCATGGTAAAACAAATATGCAAGAGTAATCACATACCTCCTGTCAAGATAACGAATTATTCGTATAACTTGACCAATGCAATTATGAGGCCGCCTCATTTTTATGTCAGAATCATAACCCAAACATCCTAAATAGGGAGATCCAAGTTAAATAGAAGAGAAGCTAAAATCACTAATGCAGAGATCATATAAGTTGCAAAACACAGAGCAGCCTACCTATTAAAGGAGCTCCAGTTTGATAAACCTGGTACAAAAGTTAAATAATGTTATCAAGTCCTTTATTGGAAAAGCAAAATGTTCAAGATTCAAGCACATAGCTATGGAAACATAAAACAATATGTTTTATATTACATAGATATGAAGGATTTATTACTTTCCTTTAAAGTTTCCCATTTAGGGAACATAACACATGCAACTCCTTTGATCCTTTTGACATAATGAAAATAACGGGGGGTACTAGGTGATTTCTTCCAATCTGCCTAAGCCTTGATGGGTAAAGTTACTGATCAGAGATAGCAGATACCCGGTGGAATAGTCGAGGTGTGCGCAAGTTGTACCAGACACCACCGTCATAGAAAAAAGAAGGGAAGCAAAGCAGAGACACAAATACAAAGGTAAGAAATAATTAGCTATAACATTTGAAAATACATATATGTACCAAATATCAAAACAATCTTGTTTCTTTTCATTATTTCACATATGAGATCACTAGATAACTAAGAGTTACGGACTAAAAATGCCAAAATCACATCCTGACGGGTGAAGCTATAGATCGTGTTTCCCAAGAATCTGTCTCCCTTCATCATCTAATCTTGTAACACTGAGCCACATATCTACAATCTTAACTCAGTAATGGCTCATAAATCCGAGTCTAGCGAGGATACTGACCTCTACAAGCAAAACGAGACCATCCAGATCATCCAACTCAGAACACACTTCGTGAACCATCAGGCAGCCCCCCCCCCCCCCCCCCAAAACAATCACAGACAAACAGACACATACATTCAGCCCTCATGATCCTAGCTTTCCTCCTAGAATAAGTATTTTTGACATTTCAATATCATTATAAATCATGTCATATGGATGGGAAGTTTGATATTCATGGCTTCGTTATTAGGCATCAAGAGTAGGGTTCTTCCACGGGTCTGTTCAACTGGCCAAAGAGATTGAAGGGCGATACTTCTTTTAGATAGTAATTTAGGATAACTTGTCCTCTACTTTCGATCAAAACACAGAAATTAAAGGATGGTAAATGGATATATAAAACTACATTAGCCATCTCTGTTTTGAACCAAAGGAAACCAGCAAAGATAAGTTATCATACATGGAATTAAGTATCTAGTCAAGAAATTCCCAAAGTCAATTTTTTTTTTTTAAATTAGCAAAACTTTCCAAGCCAAATTACAGAAACTCATCAAGAACAACACAAATGTTTCCATATCTTTCAAGTTATAGATATAGTAAGAGGTACATACATGATTCATGCATAGAAGCGCTTTCAGTTTCGGAGAGGTAGCAGCCACCTGACGTGCCACTATCTTTAATGCAGCATCTGAAGCAGGGAGTTTTGGCTTGTTAGGTTTAATGCCCAGCTTTCGCCTACATCCTGCAGCACCACAGTGGCAATCTTGATCTGCACCAAATTGAACGAACCTGCTACAATTGTTAGATTCAAATAGGCAATCCACATTCTGAGAAGGTTTTCTTTTTATAAGTATTTAAACTCTCAGAAGAATAACACACTGCAGACCTCACAAGTGGAAGAAAAATAAGTAAAATCGAAGTGCAGCCTCATACTGGTAATCGTAGGTCAGATGCTCGCCCCTTTTAATGTCCCGTGCCGCAAATATGCCAATTCTTGTTTCACCATCATTCATCCTAAAAACGCCGGGCAGGGAAATGAAATGCAATATAGAGTTGAATCTCTAGGAATGGGGGTTGAGAATACACAAGTATGATTAATTACTAAGCTATTTCTGTACCATTTCTGCATCTCAGTATTTGGACTACAACTATGATTAATGTATCGGGATTTGTTGCCCTTGTAAGTGGCATCAATCACCATATCCCGGTTGATTTCACACAAGTAAAAGTTCGTTTCCCCGCTGTGCTTCATTTTCCAAAGTCTCTCTTCACATGTTTTGTCATCAATAACTGCAGTAGCAAGCATATTTCCTTGCTATATGAAGTTCAGAATGCACAAAACAAAAATTGTTCTTCAGTAAAATAAGAGCAAAAAGTTAAAGAACTTCACCTTCTCCAACATACTCTATGACAAACTCTCCTTGCTTGATATCTTCATCTGCCACAATCCCAGAGCCACATTTCTCGGTCTGCAAGTTACATGTCAACAAACTTGACCCACCATTTATATAATGACCACAAATTGAATAAGACTAAGATCGTTCTACGGTTTTCAAAAGAATGTAAAGTGAAAAAAGTGAAATGTTTCTAATCTCTTTCAAATAAGCGACTGACACAAAATGGCACAATAAACAGATAATATAAGCAACACTTGATATGCCTCCTCTGGACGTCCTTTCTTTTCTCTCTTTCTTTTTAAATGTAAGAACTCTAGGACTGGTCAACATAAATTCTCTAGAAATCATCACACAATTCTAGTGCATCTATGCAGGGTTTAACATCGATTTATTCACTCATGATTAGGGTCCCAGTTTGGGAGACCAGGTTGAAAATGGTATTTACTGCTTTAGTCAAAGAAAGTCGTGGAATGATTGGCAGGATACTAATGACAGGAAAGCTGTAACTCTCTTGGCAACTAATTTTAGGTAGTATTTCTCTGGTCATAAAATGGCAGTAGACAAACTTAAGAAAAAGAAAAACTAGACGAAGGAATAAGGGAAACGAGGATAATTCAGCAATCCTTAACCAAATAAACCACAACCAAGAACATTGGTGAAACTTCTAGTCATTCTTCCTTCACTACTAGCCAGAAAACACTTGATGAAAACCGAAATGGGGAACTGAAGAGCTTCTTTACTTGGTGAAGCAGCTAACAAGAAAGGAATAGAAAGAAACTAGGCATGATGAAGCATTTACAAGACTTAATAGACTATGAGCTCTTTGGACATAAGAATTTTTTTTTTTTTCAAAATCAGCCATAAAATTTCAAATTTTCACTTGAAGATGAATTTTGAAATTTTGGTAGACAAGAGGGGTTGCTCTGATGGTAAGCAACCCCCACTTCCAACCGAGAGGTTGTGAGTTCGAGTCTCCCCAAGAGCAAGGTGGGAAGTTCTTGGAGGGAAGGATGCCGGGGGTCTATTTGGAAACAGCCTCTCTACCCCAGGATAGGGGTAAGGTCTGCGTACACACTACCCTCCCCAGACCCCACAAAGTGGGATTATACTGGGTTGTTGTTGTTGTTGTTGTTGATGATGAATTTTGAAATTTTTCGAAAATTTTAAAAACTCCAAAAAGCTGTTTTTCAAAATTTTCACTCGGATCACTCACAAAACTTCAAAAACAACCCAAAATTATATTCATGTCCAAACACAACTCTAATTTTCAAATATCATTTTCACTTGAAATTTTTTTTCCACTTTATTTTTTGGAATTTTACAATTCTTATGTCCGACAACAACAACATACCCAATATTATCCCACAACGTGGAGTCTAGGGAGGGTAGTGTATACGCAAACGCCCACTATAACTACTACGAACACATGATTGAGCAACTATGCAGCAGGACTCACTAGGATGATTATTTATAGTCCATAATATTTTTAATACTCCGGTAATATATCATACAGTTTTGATAATAGAATAACTTTACGTATACTAATACCAGTCATTAGATGTTAAAACAAACATCATTCTCAAAAAAGATGGGAAAGAAACATATATCAATGAGTACGGATTTTCCTCCCAAAGTTATAATCTTTTTACCTTATTCCAATCTATTTTTGCCAACAAAAGTAGAAATTATCTACCAGTGTCAAATTGACAAATATATATTGAGTTTGACACACTACAATCAACATATAACCCACATCAGCCAAGAATCATTTAGGAATAATCACATATGACAAAGATTGAATGGAAAAATACAAGGAGTAAAACTAAGGGAGGACTGAATGTCACGGACCTCAATACATGGAATAGGCCAGCTCTGCTTAAACATCTGTGGAACTTGGGCAAGAAAAAGGATAAACTATGGATCAAATGGGTGCATGCAACTATATAAAAGGAAGGGAACCATGGGAAGTTGATGCAAAGCAAGCTTCTTGGATTGTCAGGAAGATACTACAAGCTGGGAAATACTTGACTGAAGCAGGTTTGGACACGGGAAGGGTAATGCAAACTAATTCATTTTCCATTAGAGGAATGTATAAGCAACTAAGAGGGGAATTTCTGAGGTGAGCTGGAGTCGATTGCTGTGCAATAACAGAAGCTGTCCAAAATGGAAATTTATTATGTATCTGGCAGTACAGGGGAGTTTATATACAAAAGATAGACTGATAAGATGGGGAATGCAAGTAAGTCCAGAATGTCCAGTGTGTGAGCATGAGACGGAAAGTCACAACCATATCTTCTTTACTTGCTCTTTCTCAGAAGATGTTTGGAGAAGATTACTAAAATGGATGGATATCAATCGAGAACCAAAAGGATGGATGAGGAGATCAAATGGGCAATAGAACAGGTGAAAGACAATGGATCCAAAACCATGTTGTACAGGTTGCGTATGACTGGAGCAGTGTATCACATATGGCTGGAAAGGAACAGAAGGATCTTTCAGAAGATTAAGAGAAGCAGTGAAGATATTACTAGACAAATAGTTAGAGACATTCATTGTATAGTTCATAGTCATAGTAGATTGAGGAATAGTCTGCAAAAGCTCAACTATTATCCTTAGAGTAGGCATTGAGGAAGAGATGTTACTAAGTTTGGGGATGCATGTCCAAACTTAGGAGATATACTTGTACATATTTACGTGGAAATAAAGTTTAATTACCAAAAAAAAAAAAAAGTCTAGGTCAAAACCACAGCTCAAGGTCAACAAATGAATAGACTCTTGAAAAATGGCAAAATATCAAGGCTCTATTGGAAGTTTTTCAGTCTCAGTTTTCTAAAGATGATATATGACTCTTCCACAGAAGTTAAAAACAACTAAGCAGTCAACATGCATCCTTTAAGTGATATTTGTTCAAATATCTGAAGCTGCTCGAAGTTCTTCAGTGTCTACCTTCACTAATTTCATCTTCTTCACAGGACGTTGATGGAATGGCTTATTCAGACAAGAACTCCCACATTTACATCCCGAGGAGCAGCTAGACATCAGCATGCTGTAAGATTAAAGAAAAGTCTGAAAACCACACTTCTCTAAAGCTGTTTCAAATGTCATAAAAATGCTGAAATAAAATCTTTAAGCCACTCATCCTTCCAATTAACAAAACATATCAATCATCTAGAATAAAAACTGCCAAAGAGATATAGAACCTTACAAAAGTTAAACCAAAAATAAATAAATACACATAAGAACTAAACGAAAGAAAATGAATGGTAGACTAGCCACATGAGCTAAACTAAACAACCTAACCCGGGATCGGAATTGCAGAGCAATGGTTGCAACACTTAGGCGCATGGTTCCAATCCCATCAAAAGTCCTCCCCCTTTCCACTTTCCCCTTAGCCACTATTTAATGGTCCACTCCCCTTCAAAAAGAGTAAGAAGATAAACCCAAAAAAAAGGACCAACCTAACCTTTTCCGTTGCCTCCTTTAACTATGCTGAATAGAAATTACACCACAGAAATCATGGACAAGCAAAAGAGTACCACACGAATATCAGCAGAAAATGTCACTAGTTTACATGCCAAAAATGCTAAGAGTCTAAAACATACTATATACACTATATTCACAAAGATTTAAGTGGAAATAAAATGCATGTAACAGCAGGACGCTGTCAGCTAAAGAACCATTGAGAACTCTAATTAAAGAATTTATGAACCAAGTCATCGAGCCGATTATTTCCACAAATATAGGTAACACTGTTCCAATTTCCTGACTGCAAGCGGAACTTAATCTAAATCATCCTCACCCACAGAGACAATCCTTGCCACACACAGCAGAAGATTCTGCCGTTGAGCTGCAGGAACAAAATATACCATCATCTTCCACACGTCGCTTTACCTTCTTAGTAAGGTATATATCTTCAAGTAGTTAATACCAACAGAAGGAGAAAAGGAGGAGGATTCAAGCAAGATCACAAAGATAATGGACTATGCAGGTCAAATAGAAAACACAAGTTAAAAAACAAATGAGATGAAGCACAAAGATCTTATCCAAGATATGTAGAAGTGAACAGTGTCCGTTTAGGAAGTAAACTATCACAATATGAAAGAGAATTTAATACATCGGTGAAGCATATCTAGGCAACAAATATTAAGACCATCAAATGGAAGGATACTGCGCTTTATAAAGGTATAGGGCATTGATTGCCATTTATTTAACCAATCTGGAAGTTCAAAGTCAACAGGATCTCCAATCTCCTTTGTTAGTTTGCTGAATACGTGCCCAATCCCACCATGATCAGCAGTCTGGCCAGAACAAGAGAAAAAAAAAGGGGCATATTAACAAGAATTATATTTGCATTCAAAAGTAATCTCTTCCATCAATGATTGAGACGATTGGAATCAGCAAGAGCGTTCCCCATTTTCTAATGTATGTAAATAAATAAGGAGCTGAAGAACTATATCATAGAAAACCACTTTTTTCTAAAAGATAACCCAACATGCAAAAAAATGAAAAAAGAGGGGTTTGTGTGTGTGTGTGTGTGGGGGGGGGGGGGGGGTCGGCATCTAACTACAACAAGAGAATCTTTCTGGCTGCAATATGTTATTAAAGAATAACAAAAATAACAATCAAATAAAAAGTAAAATAAAATTTTAACCCAAAAAATGGTTCCACCAACCACTGTCGAGGGCAAATACAGGGCACATGCCATATAACAAAGGGGAAGAGGTCATTCAGTTTTGCCTCCACTCGGATTTGAACCTGAGACTTCATGGTTCTCCTACTGACCACTAGGCCACACCTTTTATTTCATCTCAGGTTAATATTATATGCACGAAGCTTGCACTATAATGGGACAAAACAGATAGAACCATTACACAGGACCGGAAGGGTGTAGTGCATGGATTGAAGTAGAGGAAAACAAATCCACTATGTTTGCCTAGATTAGCTGGTGATGCAAATAACATAAAAGCCTAGAGGTCTCAATTCCCTTTATATTCAAATTGAAAAGAATTAATATCATCAAACTCACTTCTTCACATTTCGCAAACATGGAATAAGGAATATGGAGGCAAAAGTAAATGACAAAATCGGAAGACCAGCTTGCAGAATAAAAACATAAAGTTCTAAAAGCTACTGAATCACCAACTCACATGTAATTCAATTAATTTGAAAATGCTTCAGATTGACTTGGAGTAAAACCGCAACGAAAATATATTGCACTGGAAACACTAATTAGCTTCAGAATAAAGTTATGTTTCCTAGATTATCCACTAGGAATACTTCAAAAATAATGCCTCCAAAATAAAAGATTTCCTGTTTTCTTTATGAAGTAAATGATTTCCACTGTTATTCTCAATAGGAACTGAACTCAGACTTAATCAAGCCACTAGCTAGACTTTTGGCTTTACTGGAGTTGCTAAAGCCGCTGTCAATTTACTATTTTTTGAGAATGGCAGCTGTAGATTTACTATTGATTTCGTAAGATATCAGATCGGGCCAACTTCCCCAAATGCCTCCCACCAACCCTTCTCCTTTAGAGATCTGGATATTTCGCTTCATTGATAAAACGAAAGATGAAGAGAGAGCAGAAATGGTTAAGATTCAAACATATAGAACCAAAACCGTAACTTGTATAGCACACAATATAATTCTTTTTCGTTGATAAGTATATAGCATGCAATATTAATATCACATAATATAATATCTTTGCAGATTAAAATGACATTGACAACATGTAGAAAGAAGAGTATGAAATGGAAGAAATTAGTATCTGAACCTTCATAGCAGGCATCGGTTCAATTGTTGACCATTTATAACACTGATTGACGATAACCTAATAATGGTAAAACAACGAATCAATTAATGTGCGGAGAAGCTGATATACAAAGTGGAAAAATGGAGATTAAGATTTATTAAATACCACACCATATATTAGAGAATGCATAGTTGCTCTACACCACAAACCTGATTGAATTGTTTGAGTGGTTCACAGGTTTCAACTATTACATTTTATTGTCTGAAATATGATTCTTCAGATTCATATATAGCTACAATCAGAAAATTTGGATAACCACTAAGCGTAAGGCTATCATCTTTTCGATCCTAGTCTATATAGCTTTAAACTTTAACAAGCAACATGTAGCAGCTTAGCTACCATAGATAACAAAAGCCCGCATATCAAAAGTGTTTCCAGCTGTGAAGGACATTATTTTGTAATGGATGCAACAGGAGAAAGTTCACAGGAACGACAATTTTATCATGATGAATGCTGATTAAATGGAAGTTCATGAAAATAAACACACAAACTAAGGAATTCAGCAATTTTATTTATGTCATTGCTGGGTCAATGAAATGTCAATGCCTCCACGGAATTCCCACTTCCTTTTACATCTTACTCTCATTTAATTGATAATCCTAAGACCAGTTTTAGATTTAGACCATCCAGTTTTCTCTACCACATGTTATCCACCACTGTATCCGCATTCATAATATTTCTTCAATGTACCTGAAAAGCTGATCTGAGCTAATGACCATTAACCTTGACCTAGGCAGCATCAAGAAAATAGGACAAAGTCACTTTTCAAACTACATAAAGTAAAGAAAGGAAAAATAAGAGAAGTACCAGATGCAAAATAAACAACAAAACATGGGCAAAATTGGAGAACAGGTAAAAACGAATCAAATATTAGAGTTCAGAGAGAGAGAACCACATCACAATTTCAAGGTCGGCGTACACTCGAAACCCATTTTGAAGAATTGTTACTTTAAGCAGAATTGGGAATTGGAAATATATCAGAAACTTATAGAGTATGTTCTTAGAACACATTTACATCAAAGTAGGTGATGGTAAAAAACACTATTTTGGGAAGGGAGATGGTTAGGCCAGACACCCCTCAAAGATTCAGTTCCCCACCATTTTCAGCATAGTAAATAATCGCATGCATTGTATATGGCTGTAAGGGGAGAGTCTCCCTTATTTACTTTAGCTAGGTTCTATCGTTAATGGCGGGATTCCTCCCATATTAGCTGCTTGCTATCGAGGTAATCTACTGTCTATCTTAGATTATGGTTTCTGGATTACAACTTTTAGTAAGGATGTGAACTAGAGAGCCATCTAAGGACTTGGAGGTTAGGGTTATGTCCTCCTCCACTGTACCTTCCTTTTGTGTTAATATACAAGGTAGGGGTCATGGCCGAACCCCCCACCACCACATGAGGTAAAGCCTGGGTGAATGCATTTAAATTTAAAAAAGAAAAAAATATATATGCTAAAGTGGAAGATTACTGGCCTAGTCATGGATGGAATATTTCTCTTAGAAGAAGGTGCACTGATGAGGAAGAAGATGAATTAATTGGGAAATGGAGGAAATGAGCAGCTTTCTGTAGATGATAGATAGCTTCTAAGCTCAACACTTATTACCAGATAGGATAATAGGAAGGAACGTGAGGATGGCCTTTTCTCAGCGAAGTCAAAGTATTAAGTTTTGTCCAAAGTAGACGACAAGTATGGCCATGGTAATTGATATGGAGAAATAGAGCTCCTTTAAAAGCAGAGTTTTTTTCATGGCTAGTGGCTGCAGAGACGGATCCAGGATTTGAAACATTATCGGTTTGAATTTAGGATTCTAAGAGAACATATTTGATTTACTGGGCTCGAACTCTATAATTGAACATATTTGATTCACTGGGCTCGAACTCTATAATTTGTACTTATTTAGTGGATTTTATAAGTCGCCGGAAGATCTTTACTTGACCAAACACAGTCTACAAAGAAAGAGGTACGACTATTTGCATAATTGCATATAATGTGGAGGAGATTATCAAGACGCGAATAACCTGTTCATCTACTGCAAATTCACAAACCAAATCTGGTATATGTTTTGAATTTGCTTGAAGTTTAAATGGTACGTGCCAGAATATGCAATTGAAACCCATTTTTAATACTACATAACTTCTTTAAAAAATGTAATTGTCGTAATCTAAACAAACAATTCAACCATAATTAACAGCAGATTTCACCAGTTTAATTCTTTAACAAAGAGAAGTCAGAAAAACAATGAAAGAACTAAGTAATTTTTTAAAAAAAAATCCAAAACTAAAAGCGATTTTCGTTTAAACCCTAGTTAAAACCACGAACTTGGGGAAAAGCAATTAGAGTAAGTGTTAGGTTAATTCACGAAGCAGAATGAAGGAGAAAATAAGAAATGAAAGAAAAGGAAAAAGACTAAAAAAGAAATAGGAAAGATTAAGAGAAGAAGCAAACCGATTTCAGACGGAAGCTCGTCGGCGGCGAGATTTGAGAAGTGAAAATGTTCGTCGGAGCACAGTTGAATGTATGAGGAAGTACGCGGGAGGTTACATTAGATCGTTGGATATGTAACTTATTGGCCAAAATGACAAAAATGGTCCCTTATGTTTATAATTTTGTGGAATGGTCCCTTATGTTTAATTCTCTAACCATTAGATTTGAGAGGAACCATAAAAAAGAAAAACAAATGAAAATATTTCACATTTGAAGGTGAAGTTTATGCATTTTTTGTTATTTTTGGTGAATTTTGCTTTTTTTGATCTGCTATATAGTTGGCACAATTTTTAATGTTGCAGTTTTTGGATTTAATATGACTTTAATAGTTTTCTATATAAATGTTTTTTCACGGTTTCTATTAAGTCTAATAGATAAATCTTGTTAAGGGTCATTTTTGTTATTTTCTCTAGTATATTATTTGTATTTCTTTTATTAAACCATAAGAAGAGCCCTTAACTTTTAAAAATATGTGTCAGTCTAATATGATCGTAAATTTGTTTCTAATACTGAATTTTTTTTTGCTCAATTATGAGTGTGGGATATGATTTCTTTTCCTTACTTAATTTCGCTTGAAAGGATAATGTTTTTAGATCTAAGCTCGCATTTCAAATATGTTAAACGAATGAAATGCGTAATCGTGTACCTCTCCCCACTATTCTTTTTCTTTTCTTTTTAAACGAATGTGTACCTCTCCCCACATTCTTTTTCTTTTTCTTTTTCGATCTCTCAATATATTCTATTTTTTCACCTTTTTAGCATATTGCTTCCTATTCCTTCTTTTTTATTTATTAATTGAAAAAACTATATTTTATTGTCCTAATTTGATCATTTATATTTCTTTTTCAATCTCTTTCCCTTCTATCCTCTCCTCGGCAAAGGCATTTTCTAATGTCACTATTCCTAGTATCTTCAAATAGAAAACTTTTCTTATTAGTGAAAAATATGAAGTAAAAAGAACATAGGAAAATAGTGGAGAGATATCTTTATGCGTAATTCTTTCGCTCATTAGACGAGTATTCGGCATTTTCAAGATTTATAGATTCCAACTTTTGGGTATGCTTCGTTAAATCAACATTTTGTTGGATTTTGTTTAATAACAAAAGAAGGGTGAATGGAAAATTGTGGGAAAAAAATGGAGGGAAGTGAAATTTTGAATGAGTTCACTAATGCACTTTGTCCCTCATTGGTAGAAAGAAAGAAAGTCTTGGTGTTTATATAGAGAAGCTCATCTTTTAGCTCTTAAAGAGCTAAGAAGAAAGCAAGTCTCGCACCGTCGTCGCTCGCTTGGCTTTGGATTTGGATTTGTCAAAGATTGATTGATTAATCTTTTTGGACAAAATTCTTTTCAAGTATTTAATTAATTAATTAAATTAATTAAAGAAAATTCAATCCGAAATAATCAATGACCCGCTAACCGGTCCGGTCCGGTCCGGCCCGTTTTTCTTTCCCGGATTAATTTAAATTCGTTTTAAATTTCTCGCAAAAATTTCCAAAACAGTGTCACACCTGTTCCAACAGCATGACTGTTCTGAAAGGTTGCAAACTTCTTCAGAGGGTCACACCTGTTCCAACAGCCATGACTGTTCTGAAAGGTTGCAAACCTCTTCAGAAACATCACCAAGTTGGCTATAAATATACCTTCAAATCCTAGAATATTTACTTACTAAATTTTCTGAATCTTCTTCTTCTTCTGCACAAAATATTCCACCATCGAGTGGTTCGCCGATCACCAGGGTTTTAGGTACCGATACACTGGTGAGTTAAATCGTTCTATCCTGGGAGGATATATTCCAAAACCTCGGGTACTTGAGGGGAATAATTTCTTTAAGGACACACTGTGTATTCAGTGGGCTCGATTTGTTCCTACAACGTTTTTCAGAATTTATTTGAAGAAGTTTACTGTTTTTCGGAATTTTAATTTCTACTAACTTTCTGTTTTTGTTTTTCAGTAAAGATTTATTATTTAATTTACAGCAATACAGATTGATAACAATCTTAAGAAAAATTATAAGAATTATTTTTAGGATGGCTGATAGGAGGAAAACAAAAAGGCAGAAACGGTCCATGCCTTTTTACGAGCAAGTGCAATCTTTTGGATTGGCATAATAACATAACTACAACGACTTGACGTCGTGGTTGTTCGAATAAGTTTCATCCAATGAATTTGTTTTTGTCATTCTACAATGATCCAAACACAGTATTTAGGAAATTAATCCTACATGGCAGTGATGGCGCTGAGTTCATATATATTCAATGGAATGGTTTGTCATGGTTGTTTAATATTTTTAGCAAATCATAGCCCCTACTCTCTTGTAATCGACGCCATATATACTGTTTGGTTCACATAATAAGATTTGTTCAAGATTGAATGCAGAATTACATCCAAGAGGGATTACTTGGTTATTAGAGATGACATGTCGACGGTATTTTTTGGTCGAAGAAGGCTTCGTTCCGTGGCTTTACATCAAAAATAGCCTAATTACAATAAGGTCATTGGAAATTTTTCTGAAGCGAATGTGTGTGTCAGAAAAACGAAAGTGAAGGAACTCCTTGGTTCATGGCAATTAAAGATTTCTCCAGTGAATTATAAAATTGTCAACAAATGGGTTTTACTCTCTTTACTCTATTCATTTTAAGTAATTTTCTATCCTATGTGATTTGTGAAATTCAATCTCTGCAAAGCTTAGGATAGAAGCTTATTATATCATGATCTCAAAATATATGTTACTTGCATGTTGTGATGATTATGAATAACATGTGGCTAGTGAATAAATTCGTTTTCTGTTTACCAAACGTCATCCGGGCAGTTGATATGCAACTTGGTAAAATGAATGAAAATATATGAAAGATTATTTTCAAGGTTGTAAGAGATGAGTTAGGCTTACAGTAATACTAGAAGTATTATTGAGATCATGAATATAATATATGTAAAGATGTACATATATATATGTTTGATTAGAGAAAGAGATCAAACTGTTTAAATTATTAAAATGGTTTAGTTGAAAAATTATTTGGAAAGGGAATTAAAATTCTCGTGATGGAGAATAAAATCTTCGTGATTTTCTACTCCTGTTTCGAGATCAAAATCTGCGAGATTTTGTACTTGTTTATTGAGATTAAAGTCTTCGTGACTTTCTACTCATTTGTCGGAAATTAAAGTCTAAGTGACTTTATATTCGGTTTGGAGATTAAAATCTTAGTGATATTCTACTCCAATTTATTTTTCGGTTTGAAGATTAAAAACTTCACCGTTTATTAAATTTGATTGTGTCACATATTAATCGGCTTGAAGATTAAAAACTTCACCGTTTATTAGATCTAGTTGTATCAGATGTTACTCGGTTTAAAGATTAAAAACTTCACCGTTTATTAATTCTGAATGTGTCAGATTGGTTTGAAGATTAAAAACTTCACATTTAATTAATTTGGCTCTGTCATGAACACAAACAACAATTCTTGTGTGTTGGCTCAACAACATAATAGAGGTGGAGAATATGAATCTCCGTTTGCAGAAATATGTTCGGAATATGGAATTATCCATCAAACTACTACACCTTACACACCTCAATCCAACGGAATTGCGGAAGAAAAAAATCTGACATTAAAAGAAATGATAAATTCTTTATTAATAAGTTCTGGATTACCGTAGAGTTTGTGGGGGAAGCTATCCTCACAGCTAACCGAATACTCAACAGAGTACCCCACAACAAAATGCAATCTATTTCATATGAAAAATGGAAAGGAAGAAAACCCAACTTGAAATATTTCAAAATGTGGGGGGTGCTAGCAAGGTACATGTTTCCTTTACCTAAAAGGGTTAAAATTGGACCAAAAATAGTAGATTGCGTTTTCATTGGATATGCTAACAAATAGTAAAGCATGTCGTTTTTGGTTCATAAATCTGATAATCCCGAGATTCATGTTAATACGATAATGGAATCAGATAATGCTAAATTCTTTGAAAGCATCTATCCGTATAAAACTGAAAGCGAGTCTGTTAAGTGAAAGACCTAAACGACCTCGGGAAGAACCAAGGAAAATACCTCCAAGTATAGAAGATCCAAGGCGTAGCAAACGTCAAAGAACATCTACTTCCTTGGACCAGATTTTGTGACATTCTTGCTTGAAAATGAGCCTCAAACTTTTAAAGCAGCTATGTCGTCTTCTATTCAGCATTTGGAAAGAGGCAGTCAATAGTGAGATTCAATCAATTTTGGATAACCATACATGGGAATTAGTTGATCTTCCTCCTGGAAATAAGCCTTAGGTTCGAAATGGATCTTTAAACGAAAAATTAAAGCTGATGGCACTATTGACAAATATAAGGCAAGACTTGTTGTCAAAGGTTATAGACAAAAGGAAGGCCCTGATTACTTTGACACTTACTCACCAGTAACAAGGATACCATCTATTAGGGTGTTAGTGGACTAGTGGCCGTGTATGGTCTTGAAATCCATCAAATGATGTTAAAATAACTTTCTTAAATGGAGAATTGGAGGAAGAGATTTACATGGAATAACCTGAGGGTTTTGTGGTTCCTGATAAAGAAAAGAAAAGTTTGCAAACTTGTTAAGTCACTTTATGGACTTAAACAAGCACCCAAACAATGGCATGAAAAATTTGACCAAACAATGTAGCAAATGATTTAAAATCAACGAGTGTGCAAATGTGTTTACATTAAAACACTCCAGGTCATGAAGTCATTGTTTGTTCATATGTTGATGACATGTTGATAATGAGCAAAAGTATGACAAATATAAATGCTCAAAACACATGTTAGCTAGCAAATTCGACATGAAAGACTTAGGAGTTGCTGTTGTGACCTTAGGAATCAGAATTCGCAAGACTCACGAGGTCTATCATTATCAGAGTCTCACTACATTGAAAAGGTACTTGACAAGTTCAAGTATTTGGATTTCAAAATTGCCAAGGACTCCCATTGACGTGAGTTATGCACTTCAAAAGAATGAAGGTGAAAGTGACTCACAACTAGACTATGCAAGAGTATTGGGAAGTTTTATGTATATCATGAATTGTACGCGACCAGATATAGCATGTGCTA